GATTATATCCCAATCGATCTAGGGATCCCTAGAATTCGGGATTTGTAACGAAAGTGTAGAATCTCCGCAGAAACATAATTTCACGTGATCATTAACGCAAGATAGTTTGCACAGTTTCCATGAAAACGTGGAAGACTCGTTAAAATTGACGAATATAGATAGATAAGAAGGTAGTGACAAGATCGGAGAGATGCAAAGTGGGATCCGCGGTGATTCGATATTCGCGGAGACGATGCCGCGATTCGATTAAACTTTTATCACCGAGGGTGAGAAGAAGGTCCACGTGAGAATTCCAATCGAGGAACCTACTGCGAACCGTTCTCATTTAGCTCTCGAGAGCGCGAGAATTACCTTCCGATAGATTGTTCCAGGCCTGAATCTAGAACTAGAGGAGAAACATTTCTAGAGTAACGACCGATTTATTCTTCAATTCGATTTTCATTATCACGAATGTATAAAATTTTTAAACTTTTCTTGAACTTTCGAAATGTTTCGATGTTCACTCTTTGAAAATTTCTCGCCATCGAGTCCAATTGAAAATTCACAAACATACGGGCAATTTCGTTAATTCGTGGTAAAAGAATATAGAATGATATAGATGCAGAGGGGGAGGACGACGAAACACCCGCGAGAGTTATTTTTCGAGCCAGAATCGAACCGTATACACGCTTTATATTCATGAAATCGGGTGGGGAAAAAAAAAAAAATGGCATCAATGTTTAAACACTTGTTTGTCACTGACAAGTGTCAACTGGTACACACCCGTCTTCAACTTTCATAACGATTTCGATGATTGGACCACCACGTTTATTTGTCCACCGCATCGAAAACACTCGTATCGATCTATTCCTGCTCCAACGAAAAGAAGAACATAAAACACAATTCTTTTTAAAATCTCTAAAATCGAAAAACCACCGTTTCCATCCGCCCAAATTCAACCATATTCCGCTTCATCACACGAACTCCCATGAATTCATTCGAGAATGACCACGAATTCCATCCCTCGAATTCAAATAAGAAAAAAAACCTTCTAAACACCCGCTCTCTTTCTCTCTTCTCCGTTAAATCCTAAAAGAACAAAGCCTAGGAAATAAAAATAAAAACTGCAAACACAAAAAAAAAGGGAGGGCAAACAGAGAATCTCTCCGATGAAAAGAGACCAATCCTCTCCTCCCCTCTCCCAACCCCTGCAATATTCGAGGGTGGTGATAAAATCGAAAAAAAAAAAAAGAGAAGAGAAAGAGAGAGAACAGTGACTCCAGGTACGGGTTGGTGAAAAAGGACGCGATGAAGACGCGGATAAACGCGGCGTGCGGTTCGCGTGGCGGCACCACGTTGTGCACATAACGCGCGCGACGCCGACGCCAACGCCGACTGCTGCAATGCGGCGATGTCGGCATTTTAATTGAAAACGCCGCCTCGGCTCGCGATACCTCCTCGCCCTGGTATCGCCCTCCTCTCTCTTTCTCCGCCGAGCCGACACCAGCTTCTCTCGCTTCCTTCGCTCATCCATTCGTGGTTTATTAATGAACGTTAATGTCGTGTAGGTGTGCGGCTCTCGTTCCTTTTAATTGCGCCCCTAAATTATTCACCGTCACGTGGCCTCGAATATCTTCTCGATTCCTCGCGGAAAAATCGGAAAACTCGTGTCCAAATCCGAGGTAGGAAGGCGTTTGTCGCTTCAACGTTCGATCGAGACAAGCGGGTGAATATGAATTTCGTTACAACAACACCTACCCGACTCCTACTCGTTTTGCTTTATTTATTATCATCGGACGCTCTCTGACCTCCGTCAAAATCCGTATCAAAGGTCAACTAAAGTTTACACCCACGTTGAAAAATCAATCGTTAAATACGTGTCATTAAAAACTCAGGATCCGAATTAAAAAAATCGATTTATCCAACGACGCCAACACATTTCGCTTGAATGAAGAAGCTGAAAATCGTA